AAGTGTGTTATTCAGCAGCTTGGATATGCAATACTTGCAGGCTAAAACGACTGCATAAATGTTTCGCATTAGCCCCTTTGACCAATTGACTGGATGGATATGGAATTGTGAATCATGTCTTCTTTTTGGCAGTTTGCATTGACTGTTTTCATTCTAATTCAAATATCGGCATGACATGATGGTTTCATCTGATTGAATTTATCTTTCTTCCAGTAGATGTATGATTTGCTTAGAGTTATTCATAAAAAAACTTTGTAATCTGTGTTTGTTGATAAAGTTCTTTCCATACATCTTCCAGAGGTTTACATATCATTATGTGTTCAATACATGTCTATTTCTTTTCATTTTTCCGCTTAGTTCTTAGCGCCCTTACTTCATACATTGTTTACAATCTATTTCGTGCAATATTATATAAGCAGAAGCATATGTATGTACTCCGTGCGTATTTTTATTTTTTATTTTTTTGACTGAATGTTGAATGATCTCCTTTACTACTCTGAAAGGCATTCTTTTGAATCTTGTAGGACGTATTTCTGATGAAAATCTCGAACAATATACCCATGCTATCTTTATGCGTTTCCAGACAAAAGGGGACCTTGCCAAGTTCTATGAAAACCCTTCATGTATGGCAGTCTTTAAGGAACATGTGATCCCTTACTGCCATGTATGCTCTAAATGACATGTAAACACCAATTATCTCAAAGCCATTTGTTCTTTCAAATCTAGTCTATGGGCACATTTTATATTTTAGATCTTCTTTTTGCCCTTTTACAGGGATTTATGAATTTGGACTTTGAGTCTGAAGTAGAAGATGATATAATCCCGATATTCCGAAAGGGAGAGGTTGGAAGCTTCAATCAGACGCGATTGTTAAAAGTGAAAAAAAAAAAAAAAGTGCTCCGATTACGTTTTCAGCTAAATATAATTTTCATGACTTCATTTTTTATCATGCACTGATCTTATTATGCAAAAATCATCTTAAGGGCTTAGGCTTTTCATGACAGGAGTTCAACTATGGTGTCGAGCATATGCTTCTTGTAGATTTTATAAGGAGTTCTCTGGGCAGGCCAGCAGAAGATGCAATGGTTTCTCTCGCAAAATTGACTGCAAAATTTCCTTCTTTGATTGTCCAAGCTACTGAAGGTGCATCCCACTTTAAAAACTCGTTAGCGAGTATATATTTTTCGAGCTCATACAATTCAACACATTTAAATGCTCAGTGCTATTGCACTTAAACGTTGATATCATAGTACAGATTGAAGCACTGAAGGATATAACATACCAATACTGATTCTTGTTCGTAATAATTCTATGATTATGCTTTAATTCCAGGTCAAAAAATTAATATGAGCAATAAGGACTATACTCATGCAGCTGTAATGCGATTTCGGTCATGTGAGAGTTACATGTCTCTTTCCGCACATTTGTTGATTAACAACTTTAATTTTACAGAAACTTACCACTGTTTTTTTTTTTTTTTTTTTTTTTTTTTNNNTTCTACCAGCGGAAGCCTTTAAGATGTTCATGAGCAGCTCGGAATACAGTAATGTAATAAAGCTCTCTCTATTTTCTTGTCAAGCATCTTGTTATTTATCCTTTTGGTTATCGTACTCGCCATATTATTTTTATTGTTACTCGGGTTACGGTCTTAATCCAACTTTATGAGAAAACCATTGTTAAGTTCTGTACTTTTATGGATCTGCACAAGGTTTGGAACTGATTTCTATGAATGTGATTGTTTTGCTGCTTAAAAAAATTGGTTCAAGTGCAGATGTGGGAATGTAAGTTCCAACCAATCATCCAAAAGGCTTTGTCTGTGCAATTTTCTGTAGATCCAATTGGCAAGGAGCTCATGTAGCTGAGGTTAATTTCTTCCATATATGAATGATCCTAATGTATTTTTCAAATCAGTTGCCTGTGAAACACTTTTAGTTATCTTGAGAGTCATTATGCAATGCNTTTGTTTGTTACTATGTTATTTGAAGTGTTCAATTAATTTAATGACTCGTCCATCAAATATGAAAATTTTAACTTTTAGGGTACATTTTAAATTTACCTAAAAAAACTAGTTGATAGCCTATAAGTTAATTTTGAGCTTACAACTTATAGCATATAATTGTTGGCTAGAAAATTAGTCAATATAATAAAATTGTTGGTGCAATTACTCCATAGAATTTATGTACGGTTTTAAGATTATTCATTCTACTAAATCAAACTTAATTTATATAAAAGAAAGAAAAAAAAAACTTATGAGCTAATTAAATAAATTGTAAGTTGATTTATGGGGTCAACACTCTTAATTTGTATAACATGTTTTAATTCTACTTTCCCTTCTAGGATTCTCAAAATGCCAGCATTTGACTCCCAGAAGGGATTCTTGAAAAAAATACTAAAATGCCAAATTAGTTATTAGTTTCTTAATGACAACAAGTGCTAAGGCTATTGCCCGCGTTTAAGGGTGGTCCCATCGTTAAACTAATATAATCTACTTAAACAGCTCCCTGATGAGGCTTAATAATTCAACATTAACTAATATTAATTATTCTATTGATTTGACTTAGTTTAGATCGGCTGCACTTATCAATTTTTTTATATTAGGCAGCGGCCAAAATTATATGCCCTTTCGCAGCATTTTTTGAAAGCACAAATTCATAATCGGTATAAATATACATTGAAAAACCAATATGTTAAAAAATTTGTTTAATATGAGTTAAATTCCAGAAATTCACAGTTTAATTAGAGCCATTTATGATAAGACAGTTACGGCCCTTTTGGCCTCACATATGATGCCATTATTGATAGGTAAAGGATTATTATTCCCGAGAACTAAGTTTTATTCACATCTCTGAAGTTGAATTTTGTTAATAATTTGAAAGCAACTGTTGGTTGTGTCGTGTGTGGATAATTAAATGTTGGGATAGGTACACAAATTGCTCTTAAAAATCAAACTGGTCGAAAGCCAAAATAATAGGAAAAAAAAAAAAAAGGATTTTCAAATACTCCTTTGAAGAATTGTATCTACCTTTTAAATATATATCATATTTTAGGGTGCCATTTGTAACACAACAAATCCTGATAGATATTAAAAATAGTCATATATATAAAAGATGCATTAAAAAGATAGTCTTGTTGCTCAACTGAAAATGCTGATTTAGGTGGCCCTAACCATTATCCATTAGACAATCATTTTTATTTTTTAAAGTGTACATGTAATGTAATACTTTTATTTATATTTGTTTTAAAGTACGAAATTTAGGTATGAAAGTATACATATGTATTTGAAGAGTATAAATGGCTAACCATTTCTAATAACCTAACATAAAACATACCATTAAATAAAACAATTAATTGATAAAATAACCGATAAAATTGAACAAATAACAAAATAAATAAAAACACATTTCTTCCTGGAATCAACACATTATCATAATTATCCAAAAATGAATAAATAAATAAAAAAAAGAAAGAAATTAAAGGGGAAAAAAAAGACAACATATATTCTTCATTTATGTAGCAATTAATGGTAGCATAAACAATCAACTGTACCTTCTGTATACATTCTCTATGAAAAAAAATACACAATTTTCCTTGTAGCAGCCTATTGCATACATACAGCCATTACCTGAAAATAACTATACTATCAAAATCAAGTATACATACACACTTCCACAATTGTAAATAAAACGAATTAAAAGACACTACACAGAAACTGAATACCCAGAAACAAAAGAACAGAGTAATCTATATATATAATGGCTGCAAAACTCTTGCTGCAATGAAAAAAATAAAAATATGCATTCAGTTGTGTAATGGGTTTGGCCCTTGAGGTACCGTTCGATGCGAAACTCCGTAATTTTCGGTTCGATTTCTCGATTCTTTCGGAGCTTGTGCTGGAAATTTGTACCATGTAAACTGTGAAGAATTTGCTGATAATTTCTCTTCGTTATTTGACTCGCGTAAATTCCGGCAGCTCGTGAGGCGGCTAACGGCTAAAACGATCACTATAATCGTTAAAAAGCAGATTTTCTGAGAATGGAATTTCATACTCTGTGATTTTTCTTTTTCTTTTTTTTTTTTATTTAAAGTTATTTTCTTGAGGAATATGATGGTGAGCAAGAAGAACTTGGGCACCTAAAAAAGGGCCTATAATATAAGTCAATGGATCTCACGTGTGGAATGACAAGAATGCCCCTCTTTAGATTGTGTGTGGAATTTGTTTGGCTTTGTTTTCACCAAAGTCTATAAACACGTTTAGGTAAGTTGGGGGAGTGTTGTTTATTTATTGTGGGCATTATTGACTATTTTGTGCATTTGACTTTCTTGTATATGATAATGTTGTACTTTTTTTTTATTAATTGTATAAATTTTTATGTATATTATACGTATATTGATGTGCCATGTTGCATATATTATATTGGCTAGGCTATGTGTGCAATCTATGGATGGATGGTTGAATATATATTTCTATTGAATGTGTTTTTGTACGTACCATAGTCTAAACTAGTGTGTACCATGTGAGATGCACGGGAATAATATTAAATTAACAATACCATAAATAGACCTTGAGTTTGAGTCACTCAATAGCGAAAGTGGAAACTACTATTGATCCTATTTAAAAAGAGGAAGAAAAAATAATAATTATAAATTAAAGAGGAGGATAAACAATACTTAATAATTATAAATTAAAGATTCGGGATCAAACAATGTAAAATTATTATGTATAAGAGAATATAAAAAAAATTGATTACACATCATTTCAAAATTATTATTATACTTTTTTGTATGATTAGCTTATAATATTTGTAAAAATATTAGTAATTAGACCGATGAAAATTAGCTTCTTAAAGTAGATAATGGATTTCTAGTAGTAATTATGAATTAGTTTCTGTTTTATTTTATTTTTTCTTTTTAAAGATAATGGATTTCTAGTAGTAATTATGAATTGGTTTCTATTTTATTTTATTTTTTCAAATCTGTATAGATAAGGGATGAGATTTTTTAAACACGTGAGACGTATGTAATGAGATTTTGTAACAGAAGAGATAAGCTCGTGTAGATTTATACTAAAAATAGGAAAAATTAAAACAAATATTTATTGTCGAACAACGATTTTGATAAACTAAAAAATTGGAAAAAGAGAAACAAATTTTTTCACAATTATTGAGCCAATTTATTTGCCTATTCAGATTTGTCCAACAATTACTATATATAGGATATATTTAATGATTTTGGCGGGAAAATATTTCTAGATTTGTAAAAAGGTTATTCTTTTTATATAATGATAGATTCTCAATTAGGATATACAATATGATCATCTGAAAATTAAATACAGAAAGATCTAGCATAAATTCAGTTCATATTCAACAATTGAGTGTGGAAATTGATCTCAATAAGTTCTAACTTTCAGTAATAAGTTCAATGAAAATATTCAACAAAATTCACTTTGGGTTGTTATAGTGTCACTTCACTTCAGGAGTCCAAAGTACTTAATAATTAGTAATTTAAGTGGATTATTGGTACTGAAAATTTAAATAAGTAGTCATTAGGGTAGAATTATAATGGTGAGAATCTTGTGAAATTCAAATCAGATTCCAACATATAGTAACTGGATATATATGATTGGGGACAACGGGCACAGGAAAAAATATGTACAAGTATCAATTTTGTACACATAACTGAAAAGAGACCAAAGTTNTACTTTAATCTATTTGAATTCATTCATTCAAATATTGAACAGTGGAAAAAAAAAACACCAATGATCATGGCATCATGCTATTTGATGGTTACGGCATATTAAAAAAAACATATACCTCCCAAGCATATTTGCGCAAACAGATTTCATGTATTAAGCAAATGATTCCAAAACCCAATGAAGAATCCATTACGGCAATTTAAGACAAAATTCATCAAACACAATTATTTGATTCAATCCATTCAATCAAAGAGCGGCAATATGATCATAAAAAACACTTACGGCAACGTTATTGATAATTATTAATTATCATACGCAGTCCTTAATCTCTTATATGGCAAAATAATATGCATAAACACATTCTCTGATACCACATGTAAGAAATTTAATGGGTATATTCACAACTATTAGGCGGAATTGAATAAACCCTAAACATGTAAGTCTATCAATTCATAGAATATGAATCTTTTGCATAAATTAAATTGCACATAGAAACTTACAAGAATTCATTAGTCCTTCCATGAAATTTAATAGAGCTCAGAGAAAAAGGTGGCACTATGCAAACCAAGAAAACCAAAATCATCTCCATATTCTAGGAT